TTTTTTTTTTTTTTTTTTTTGGCTATGCCAAGATTCACAACCTGTGGTTTGCTTTAAGACATGGCTTAATTTATTCCATATGCAAGTTCAGACTGATCAGGTTGTCATTTCATTTATTAGAACTGACAGGGATTGGCCAAAAATTAAGATTTTCTACCAATTTGGGACAAACTTCATGAATGAAAACAGAACTTTTCCATATGAACTGATAAAGGATTTACCCTTCTTAAAGGACTGTCTTTCTGCCCTTTTTTTCCCCCACATGGCTCAGGAGGTACAATTTTTTTCTCTATGTTACTCTTCAACTGCAGAATCCTCATTACTTTTACCCAGTACTGTAACAGACTGACTGGAACTTCAAATCCACACAACTAACACATTGGTACTTGCTGTCTCCTCTATCTACAACTTGTGTTCCTCCATCAGGAAGCTGCTCATCCTTCAAGACCCATCTCTATGAAACCTTTGTAACTATACACCAAGACCCAGTGAGAACATTAGCATCTGCTTCCCATTTATACCCTAACTTGCTGCTCAATTTATAGCACTCAAATCTATGCTATTCTGCCTCTGAGTAAAAAGCAAGTTCTATCTATAAGCCACTGTTAGAAGATAAGCAGGCCACTATGCTTTTGTGCATGGGTGTGTGTGCCATTTTCCTCAACCTTAAGACAAAACAAATAAAGGCCATTTGCTTATTCATCTGAGAAAGAATTACAGGGCATGAGTGATGTCTCTGTGCATTCCTGCAGGGCATTCTAGGTGTATCACTAACTGCTCTGACACGAGGCCACCATATTATGTACTCATCACTGATCAGGCTTATTGTCTGTTACACAATTCTGGGGGACGTCTACATTGCTTTTAGCTCTATTTTACCAGGTAGAAAAAATACCTGCTTAGCAAAAAAATGCTAGCTATAGTTGCCTGCTTAAAAATGTTGAACCAAACGAGAGAGCACCCACGTGACCTGCCTGTCCGTCTTCTGAGTGCACGTAGCCTGAGCGCCCCCCCTCCCCCTGACACTGTAAAACCTCCAAGTGCACAAGCACATGTGTTTGAGAGGAGAGCAAACAAGCTACAATGGTCCATCTCACCTCTTCATAAACCTCCCTCACGGCTGCGCCGCCGGGTTCCTCCTCCGGCTCCATGCCTCCTCCAGGGACAATCCACTGGTCCGGGTACCGGCTGCTGCTCACGAGCAGCACCTGCAAGAAGAAGCACCACCGTGCATGGCCGCTGCACACAGAGTGCCGCGCCCCAGACAACACCCTCAACCCGCCGCGGCGGGACTGGGAATGTAAGCCCTTCCAGGTCAACCCGCCTTTCAGGGTCATTCAGATTAAGACGGGTGCACATTCTACCACAAACAAGCAGCCGACAGCTTCTGTACCCACCGTCTTTCGGAATTCAAAATTCAACAGTATTGTGCTCACATTACTACACCATCCTGAACCTAATGAAGTCACTTCAACTACCAGATTCAATTCGTGAAACTCTCCAATTCTTGGAGACTCACAAAGGACTGAAGCCGAGACTCGGTTTACTAGCCTCAGCTGTATGCACTTAGGTTTGTGGTCGTAATGTCTGTTTTTTCAGTTACAGAATCTTAGTATTCTCCCAAATTTAAGGGTATGTGACCCCAGGCACATCACCCCGTTCCCTCACCTATAAAATGTATGAATACTTAACCGAGACTGTGAGAAAGGAATAGGGAAACTCACGTAAAGCCAATGCATGGCAGAGAGTTCCCGTTATTTTTACACTTATGATTGGGTGGAAAGAAGTACCCTTCATATTCCAAACTAATTATAAATGAACAAGAGTCACTTTTGATTAACAGGCAGCTATAACTTATGATCTAGAAGAGGATTGGCAAGTTACAGTGAGTGCACTGCTTGTTTTTGTACCGTCTGTGAGCTAAAAATGGTTTTTATAATTATATGAAATTCAAATTCCAGTGTTCATAAATAAAATTTTATGAGAACCTAGCCACACTCATTCATTTTTTACATGCTGCTTATGGCTGCTTTCATGCCACGACAGCAGAGTTGGGTAGCTGCGACAGAGACGGTGTGGCCCACAAAGCCTAAAATATCTGGCTCTTTACAGGAAGTCTGCAGACCTCAATCAAGATTAGCATTAACCTTGAAATATGCAAACACTTTTTTTTAAAGAACTACATTATCAGAGTATCCCAGAGGTTCATTAAGTGCCTGAAGCAAGTATATATCTAATAAATGAAAATTTGTGGGCTAGAGTAGGTTAAAATTCACCCAAGTTAAAACAACAAAGGCTATGATAAATAACCAAACGATGTTTGTGAAGTAACAGATGCCTTAACGAACGAGAACAAAAGTGTTTACAAAGTTACCTTAGTATACTGCCTTCACCAACATAAGCCATTCTCACCAGATCAGTCAATCAATTCAGAGCAAAGTTTAATCCCAGACGTGTGCGCTTCTTTTCTGCCCTGTGCCCCCGTAGGTCGAGCTGCCCAGCCCCCTCCCTCCTGCCAGAGCAGCCACTGGCCTTGAGAGTTCACAGCCAGCACAGGATTTGCCTCCCACGGAGGAGGCCGCCAGAACTCAACCTTCCCCACTGAAAAGTTCCAGGCTGACAGTAAAATAGTTCAGCAACTCCCACCTTTCCCCAAAACCTCTAAAATATTGAGCTGGAAGGAACACCTATCCAGGCACATATCCCCTCAATTTGAAAGCTAAGCAGAGCAGCAAACTGTGGCCTATGGACACACCATCATTGCAAATTGGTGATCCATCAATGTTCAAGGGGTCTGAGCATTATTTCTCTCATTCTTGATCCGGATAGGACTCTATTGCTTCCTTTTTTTTTTTTTTTAAGATTTTATTTATTTATTTGAGAGAGAATGAGATAGAGAGAGAGCATGAGAGGGGAGAGGGGAGAGGGTCAGAGGGAGAAGTGGGCTCGATGCGGGACTCGATCCCAGGACTCCAGGATCATGACCTGAGCCGAAGGCAGTCGCTTAACCAACTGAGCCACCCAGGTGCCCGAGGACTCTATTGCTTCTACCGGCTTTATTCCTTCAAATGAATAACTGGCAGAACAGTGCAAATCCAGAGGAAGCACTGTAAATTAATAGCTGATACATCATTAGTTAAAATATTTAATGGCTGGGGCGCCTGGGTGGCTCAGTCAGTTAAGTGGCTGTCTTCTGCTCAGGTCATGATCCCGGCGTCCTGGGATCAAGCCCCAGGTCAGCAGGGAGCCTGCTTCTCCCCCTGCTTATGCTCTGTCAAATAAATAAATAAAATCTTTTTAAAAATATTTTAATGGCTGACATTGAAGGTATCACCAAGTCAAAATATAGCAATTTTGGTAAAATGAAATGTAAGGCAGGTTTACATTTAAGCTTTCTTAAGTATTAGCAAACAGGGCTTACATATCAAAATTAGAAACTAAAGAGCCAGAATAAGCAAATCTAGTAAGAATTAGAAAACACTGGTTTGAACCTGAAGATGTTTTCCAACTGTACAGATCACAACCAAGGTGTGTTTCACTACTGGATGCACACAATGAAGGCTGCTCATCTACCTTTCAGTGCACCAGTGTTGTCCTCTGTAAAAGCAAGTGCCCACCCTTGTAGGGCTGTTGAGTGTTACTGAGAATTAAATACCTTAAGTCCTGGCCTAGGCACTTGCTGTTGGCCCTTACTAGCTATTCGGCTTTCCCACCAGTGGAGTTGAATCAGCTTACCAAGAATTAGGCTTTCCCCCCAAATTTTGCCACTTGTATTTGTTTTATAATTACTGAGAGTTAATGATGAAATGAGGGCAGAAAGGAATTATCAAAAAGACTGCAAAGATTAATTAAAGGTGGGTTATTAAAAACTATCAAATTAAATACGGATGAGACTACTATAAAAGACTGGAAAAAGGAAATTTAAAAATCCAGAAAGAGTCTTCAGGCCCACAAAGCCTAAAATATCTGGCTCTTTACAGGAAGTCTGCAGACCTCAATCAAGATTAGGCTGCTCATTGTATAGCACTCAAATCTATGCTATTCTGCCTCTGAGTAAAAAGCAAGTTCTATCTATAAGCCACTGTTAGAAGATAAGCAGGCCACTATGCTTTTG